TAAAGTTGTCCTTGCTCGGTTTCTACTCTCTATATGCAATTTTCACACTGCCGTACTCTAAACGGAACTATCAATTCTATACTTTCATCTCTTCTTCTATCGTATAAAAATTACCACTTTAGTCTGTTATTTGAAATTAGCATCTTCAACTATGTAAATCGTTGACTTCTCGCAGAAGTAATACTAAACATATAGTCAAAGTGCAGAGAACTTAGTAAAAATTCGGAAAAACTTCGTAGGAGTAGGAACTACTGTTTGACGAACATTGTTGAAGTTTAGGGAACCTTGTTTGAATTCAGGAATCTTCATAAGGCAAAGAAAGAGCATACAAAAACGTTCGATCATGGAGCGGTGACTTTCTCGTAGTCTCGACAGTCTTACAGTTAAAAAGTTCACTACGCACTATAATAGATGGACTTTGGAGACGGAGATTTTCATGTCATTAGAGAAATTGAATGGGCAGTTGATAACATCACTTTAGAACCAATTTTCAAAAAAAAGTTCATCTGCATGCCAGGAACATCAGAGGCGATAAGACATGAACAGGAACATTCGCAAAATAAAATCGAAATGAAAATTCGAATTTATAGGGATTTAAAGTTAAAGCTGATATTTTGAATGACTTCGAACGCAGTGGTAATTTGGGATAATGCGGACTAGGCTGGTGTTTTCGTCACTTCATGAAGTTCCCTAAGTTTTCAAAAATATCTCGGAACATCTTTTACGTTCCAAAAATTTTCCTGATGTCCATGAAACTTCTCTGAAGGCCCCACAGTTTGAACATCGCTGAAATCCTCGGAATACTCTATAATTCCTCAGCACTTCTTGGTAGTTCCTGCAATTAATTAAATAACGAGAACCATAAGGTTCTCGACATTTATCTGGAGTTCTCGGAACTTCCCTAGAATTCTCTCAATTTTCCTGATAATCATGGTCTGAGTTCTCGGAACTACTCGAAGCTACGTAGCTCCCTTTAAAATATATTAGCTCAACTCAAGTATTGGCAACTTCTGTTAAGTTCCTGCATTTTTCCTAAAATTAATTGGACTGCCCTGATCCCCTTTGACCTTCATTGAATTTTAAGGAACTTTTATGAAATCTATCGAACTGCCTTGAAGCTATCGGAACTTATCTGAATGATCTTAAAGCTTGCCCGGGTTTCTGGACGTTCTTGAAGCTTTCGGGACCACCCTCAAGTTTTCGAAACATCTTCTAAATTCTTAGAAATTCCAAGAAATTTTCATTCTTGAAGGTTACCATATTTTTTTTTCTTAATCTAATGGAACAAACATTAAGTTTTGAAATTTTTCCTGAAGTTCTCGGAACTTCAATAAAAATCATCCAATTTCCCTGACTCTCATAGGACTCTCAATTTCTGTAAAGTTTTCTGGACTTTGTGCTTGAAAAATCTGTAAAGTTTCTGAATTTTTCTGAAGTTATTGAACGGTCATTAAGTTCTCAAATGTTTCTTTGTAAAGTTCCTGAATTTGTAATGAAGTTAATAATACTGAGTTCTCAAATGTTTCTTTGTAAAGTTTTTGAATTTGTAATGAAGTTAATAATACTGACGCGAAGTTCTCTGTTCTTCATTCAAGTTCACCCAATTTTACTGTAGTTTTCGGAATTGACCCTTAAAGATCTTAAACTTCTGAACTTTTCTATAGTGTTCTCGGAACTTCCTTAATATTTCCTCAATGTTCTTGATAACCAGGGTCTGAGTTCTCAGAACTGCTCGAAGCAAGGTAACTCCCTTAAAGAGATTTTAACTCAACTTAAGTGTTGGCAACTTCTGTTAAGTGTCTGCAAGTTTTCTGAAGTTAATGAGACTGCCCTGATGCACTTTGATCTTCATATAATTTTTAGCAATTTTCCTGAAATCTATTGAGCTTCCTTAAAGCTATCGGAACTTATCTGAATGATCTTTAAACTCTCTCTTAGTTCTGGACGTTCTTGAAGTTTTCGGGACCACCCTCAAGTTTTTGAAACATCTTCTAAATTCTTAGACATTTCAAGAAGTTCCCATTCTTGAAGGTTACTATATTTTTTTCTGAATCTAATGGAACAAACATACATTTTTCCTGAAGCTCTCGGAACTTCAATAAAAATCCTCCAGTTTTCCTGACTTTCATGGGACTCAAAATTTCTGTAAAGTTTTCTGGACTTTGTGCTTGGAAAATCTGTAAAGTTCCTGAATTTTTAATTTAGTTAATAAAGCTGACGTGAAGTTTTCTGTAGTGTTCTCGGATCTTCCCTAAAATTCCCTCAATTTTCCTGATAGTCAGGGTCTGAGTTCTCAGAAATGCCCGAAGCTACGTAACTCCCTTTAAGATCTTTTAACTCAACTTAAGTGTTGGCAATTTCTGTTTCTGCAACTTTTCTGAAGTTAATGAGCCTGCCCTGATGCACATTTATCTTCATTAAATGTTTAGCAATTTTCCTGAAATCTATTGAACTGCCCTGAAGCTATCGGAACTTATCAAAATGATCTTAAAACTTGCCAATAGTTCTAAACGTTCTTGAAGTCTTCTGGGCCACCCTCAAGTTTTAGAAATCCTTAGTATTTTAATGAAATTGTCATTCTTGAAGGTTCTCATATTTTTTGCTGATGTTATAAGAACGAACATAAAGTTTTGAAATTTTTCCTGAAGTGCTCGGAACTTCATTAAAAATCCCCAATTTTTCTGACTTTCATGGGTCTCTCAATTCTTGTAATGTTTTCTGGACTATGTCATTGGAAAATCTGTAAAATTCCTCCATTTTTTCTGAATTTAATAGATCGGTCCTTGTGTTCTCAAATGTTTCCCGAAATTTTTGGAGCTTCACTAAAGTTTCCACATTTCCAAAGTTCCTGAAATTTTACTGAAGTTAATTAAAACTGACGCGAAGTTCTCTGTGCTTCAGTTCAGTTCACGAATATTTCCTGAAGTTCATTTAACTACCCTGTAGTTTTCGGAATTTACCCTTGAAAGATCTCAAAGTTCAGAACTTTTCTGTAGTTCTCGGAACGTACCTGAAGTCTGAGGTCTGTATATTACGAATATTTCTCAACGTTCTTGGAACATTCCTGAAGTTGTAGGAATTGCTCTAACAAGCTCCTACTTCTCTGGTTTTTTTCTTAACTTCCCTAAATTTCTCAAAACTTCTATAAAATTCTAATAATTTTCCTAAAATATTGACATGCCAACACTATTATTAAATGTTTGGATTATATTTTATTGCATGAATCTACATTATGTTTAATGTATGCAGCTTAATTTTGCTCATATGAGCGCACAGTTATGGAAGGACGTCCATAAATTCGTTTAAGGCATTTTGGAGCACAGTTTTTAAGCACATGTTGATAGATATGTATGTGCCCTCTTAGTTTTAATAAATGAAAAACAAACAGGCTATCGATGCTGGTTACTCATGGACACTACAGGGACACTGAGAGGACTGACTTTAACACTATTTGGTAATTCGTGATATATGATCTACTCAACGTTTTATCAACTCGGCATTGCAAACCAGAATACTTTACCAGAATACCAGAAATACTTTCAACCTTGGAAATTCCACGAAATTTTCGAGACCATTATTAAACGACGGACACAAAGGATGATTCACGTCTAAGAAATAAATACCACAGACAAACTCTTCAAACAAATAGGATCGAACCTCAATAATGGTCTGAATAGTAATAGCACACATCGAGTTAACCCGACGATAGCTTTTAAAGAGAGTAGAAAAATCAAAAAGGAAAATCATCCTTCTCAAGTTTCTGCGAATTGAACCCAAGTTTACCCAAAGTTGAAAAAATATCTTACATCGCAGCTCGAATCTAGTAAAATTTAGCCTTCGTTTATTGAAAAATCCCAAACTAACTATGTAGGGGAAATGGCTCTAATATTGGCCTATGGATTTAAGATTGGCCCATTGCTAAAAATCTGCTATTTATCAATGTTATCTAGATGAACGTGTCATTGGGACGGTACTAATGTATATTTTTGGTCGCTATTGAACAATTATTCGATTGCTGAATTTATGTATGGGCCCAAATTAGGACCATTAGGCCAAGATAACATCCATTTCCCCTATATTGCACCAAGTACAACGTCTTTAAAAAAAACTACACTCAGATTGAAATGGCAGCTATTTAAACTTGTTTGCTTAATCCAAACATAAGATGTTGTACAGCAACCTAAGTAACATTGAAACCTTACCGTTAAGGCTTCAAAGTATTCTTCACGTCCAAATCATGGTCTATAAAACTTGGATAAAACCAAAACTGTTCCTGGGAAACAGCTTTTCACGATTTTTTGTGTCACCATTACCAAGAAGAACTAATGGACCCCCCAAGATTGTCCACCATCTGGCACCGCTGCTCGTAATATTCTCGCACGAGCCGTCGCCGAGCTATTTGAGCAAACGATCCGATCGAAGTGAATGGTTTATGACCCACCACCAACCGCGCACGACTCCTTGCTTGTGCTTTTGCTCTCGCTCGCTCGCTCGCTTACTCATTCGGGCGCGCGCGCCTACTCAACTCAGTCAGATCTCTTCGCCGACGATCAAAGCCAAATGTGAGGCTTGAGTGCGATCGCGCGAACAAGGTGCCCCAGAGTTGAGCTGAGTAGGCTATGCATAGGTTTACAGCTCAGTCCGCAGTACCAAGCATCAGCCAGCTAAGATCGTCAACATTTGATGGCGTGCTGCTGCTGCTGCTGCTAATGCAGGCACCCCGGAGGCACTCTTTGCTGTAGAATAATTAGCATCTGCTTAACTACTAGGTATGCCTACTCGAAGCTAAGTACTCGAGAAAGCAGAACGCGTGAGTCAGTTCGATCAGAAATCAACAGCAGCGTTGAGGTTTTGGGTCTATTGAATTAAATTAATTTCAAATCCGATTTGATGGGAACCACTTAATTTTAGGTCAGCGATCTAAATTAGCATATATCGGGACAAGGGAATGTTTGTTCTCCTTCTTTTGTTTGCACTAATTTCGTCTTTCTATCTTACAGCTTCCTGATCCGTGGTAAAAGCGTTTCGATCGAGGACCTATCCACCGAACGTGACGAAACCAACTTCGATGACGACGTCGAACCCACGCAGTGGAAGCGAGTCAGCAAAATCCGACGCTCACTGCAATTTCCAAGGAAAACCGCACCAAAGTAAGTGGTTTATTTTATTTTATTTTTAGCTCTAGCCAGTGTATGGCGTTGGTTGTGATCTACATCTGCACATTATTCATCATCGACAGAATCAGTACCCGTCCAGCAGATCTTCCGGAGAACTCGGTGAGCGTCCAGAAAATTCGTCAAGAATTAGAAAACGGTCGCCGTCTGAATACAGCCATGAGGAACAATCACATAGATTTCGTGGCTCTGGATAACATCCTGAACAGCGTCTCGGAAACGCCTTCTCCGAAAATGGAAGCACCTCGTACACCTACAACTCCCAAACCGAATGCAGCTTCCTTCCTGACTGCAGAATCGCTCAAAGAAATTCGTGGAAAATTGCGAAGATTGAGCAACGAGTCTCTCTACCGGGACGATATGAGTCCAGGCGATGATCGCAAGGAAGATGATGATTCGGTTACGATCACTGAGATGGAGACGAGAATGGGTCAGCTAAAGACGAGTAGTTCGTCGGATTCGTACAAGAGCAACAGTTTGGAGTCCAACAGGAAGGGCTCTACTGATAGTAATTCTGAAGATTGGCACTCGAGAAGAAAATCGTACGGATTCGAACGGATGAATCAACCATCCACTTTTATGCCCAAAATGGATTCATCGACCGACAGCGGTATTGGTCGATCGACGGATCTAAGTTCTAGTTGGTCCAGTGGCGGTACGGAGAATGTATCTGTTCCAAGACGAACGATCGTGACGCTGGGAGAGCAGCAAGAAAACCCGACAAGTTCTGCAATGGTGATTAAGATCACAAACGAAGCACAGGAAAGTGTGAAGACAAGCTACCGAGAGGAAGAGGTTAAACGACACTCAATCGCCGTTGATGAAACGAGTTACGTACGTGACAGCTTGAAAACTATGTTTGAGAAGAAGACTTCGGTTAGTGTGAACGGATTTAGTCAGACGATTATCGATGACTTGAGCCGAAACAAGAAAAAGGTTGAATTCTGCAAGACGGAGGTTCACTTTACCGCAGATTCCGGCCGAGTGAACATAGTCGAAACCGATGAGAAACCCCCACCGACGAACAACTTTCGCAGAAGGCGTAGATCTTCAGGTGGATCGATAGGATCTTCATATCTTCAGGCGATAAGCTCTGGCGTTCCTGTGACTCATTTTGGAGACCTGGAGAAGGGAGTTAACGAAGCAGACTTGAAGGAGAATCCAGTGTATACAGCACCTTCCGTAGTGACCACTACCGTGGGTCGTCCAGAACCTAGTCCCCGTAGAACCTTGACCACATCAGATGACAGTGATGGTCAGTCCGCAGATGAGATCTCACTTCGCGGTATTCTGAAGAACAAACCAGTTAAACCGAAACCGTACGTCTTGGGAGAGAACATGGAGAACAGTGAAAGTCTGTGGGGAGTCAAACTACGACCGGTATCTACGGAACTAAACTACTGGAATGGAGAATCCGACGAAAAACATCAGTCTACGGAAGAGAAAGAGGTTGCATCTAGTGGTAGCTTTTCCACAAAAATCAACCTCACTCAACCAACTCATACAGCCTGGAAATCTGACGGTAAGTTCTGTTAGGAATAGGTCTTTATCGTAGAATGCTTCACATCTATCCAAGGATGAACTATCGCAGCACCCCTTAATACTACTCTGTTCCTAATGCTTCTATTCGCACGCTTAATTGGACCAAATCAGTACTAAACTTGTAATAAAGTCATCCACGCTGGTCTAAATCAACCATTTTTCTCTTGCACATTGTGTCTTCCTTGCTGCAATGTTACAGAGTCCTCTGAATTGATCCCGAAGTCTACGACGAAAATTCTGATAGATATGACGAAGAGTTCCAACCCCTCCGGACAAGAACGCAATCAGCTCAAGTCCACGTCACTCATAATGCGCACGATGCGTTCGGCAAATCAGTTCGACGAAGCTATGAAAAAATTGGAAACTGCTCGTCGCGAGTCGCTGGACAGCAATGGTGGCGATGAACCGCGTTCGGCTTTCCAGTTGATTTCAAGCACGATTGCCAAGTCGAACTCTGCCAGCAGCATCTACAAGGATACCCCGAAGCTAAGGGTAGCCAAGTACGCTGCCTCCCTGGATGGAGATATTGACGACGACGAACCTCGCTACCAAGGACCCATCCCCGTGGCCAGACGAAGCTTCACCAGCGAATCTCGGCTATCGGACTTTGAAGCATACATTAGCAAGAATAGCATCCGACGATCCAGCACTACGGATGAGTTCTCATCGGTCAGTATGGTTTCGAGTGTTGCCTCCAAACCGGTGGCAGCGCCAAGGATGAAAAAGCTCGGATCGAGTGTACTGAGTCATCAGCTCACGCAGCTGAAGCGGCTTTACGATGCCGCCGAGCAGTACGACAGTGATGATAGCGCGAAGGCCGACGAAGAGGTTAAACTGTACTTGGGAAACCTGGCAGGGGGTGGCGTCGGTGAAGAGAAAGGAGGCAGCGAACTATCCGGCAGCTGGAGCCGTATCAAAGCTAAACGAAGCATTCAAAAGTACCGCGATCAGGACGTTAAAATTACAGTCAACTCGACGTCAGGTAGGTATGTGAGTGCACGCACCAAATTTTCTGATAGTTCATCCGCCGTGTACATATGAGTGTGTCTTGAGGTTTCCATAATGCTATAACAACTGGATGGAAAACTACTTTATTTTTCAGAATTCGAAATTGTTAAACCTTCAACGAACGGAGTAACGACCACTACAATCTCCAACGAAAAGCAGTCCAGAAGTAGCAACATAATGTCCATTGCCCTGAAAAGTCCTACGCCAACGAAGAAACATCCTACCCCTAGTCCAGGTATTGGTTGCTTAGAATTCAGTTGTCAACTTTGAGCTCAATTTTTTGATATCTCTCACAGTGAAAACTTCACAACCGCAACCGATCGAACCGTCACAACCAGTGCTATCGCCGCACTTTAAGCGACACATTCCGAACGCTGTTAGTGACACGACGAACGGCACAGCACGAAACGAAGAACGGGCCTCACTTCGGCTGTCGTCCGGTGCACGACAGCTCCGTGAGCATGAACTATCGTTCTTCGGTGTCAACAGAAGGCAAGAATCGACGAAATCGTCGACTTCGACCGCGTCGAATTCGACTAAGTCCGCAACGAATACCACCTTCACCCGATCGACGACCCTCACGTCGTCGTTCATCAAACGCAACTCGATCAACATGAACCCTCTGTCGACGTCCACGTCTGCGGCTTCAACTTCATCCAGCTCGACTACTAACCAAGCCAAACCGCAGACTACACCCGTATCGGCATGGCAGTTAACAAACGACAAACCCGACTTGCTTCGTCACAGTCAAAGGGTGGATAGTGACGCTGTCAAGAAAACTACCAGTACCTCTTCTGCTTCGACCAGTCTGGGAACTAGCACTTCTACCATGTCCTCCCTGGATCCACACTACGAAAACCTAGTCAAACCTGTAACGACGGACCCGCTGGTTCCGGCGTACGATCGCAAGCAAGATTTGAAACGGGATGAGCAAATACTCGAAGAGCTAACTCGCGCCGCTGATGAGATTCTGAATGTACGTACATTACCTAGTTCGAGACCTAGGTAGCCCATAAATGTTTTATATGTTAACCGATATCGTTTCGCAGGTTGTCAACAACATGTCGAATGCTGAAAGCACAGAAAGCATCCAGAGTAACGAACAGTTCCGCGTCAGTTCGGGTGGTGGCTCTGGAGTCACCTTGGGCACCATTCGCGAGTGTTCGACGACAAACAAGATTATGAGGTCCCGCGGCGTACAGGTGTCAAAGAACTTTGACGACAGTCTGAAGCGGCATCAACGAACCACCAGAGGTGAGTTCTAAAATTATTCTCAAACTATTGTGCTACCCTTGTCATTTCTTTATAAATTCTAGTGTCATCTGCATCGTCGAACGAGAGTCTCCCCCGACCATCGCCACCCCGAACGACCACCAATGCCACCGTCCGTTCCAGTCAGCTTGCGGAATCTCGCACCAGTTCTATGAACGGTAGCGGCCGTCGTAAGCTAACCAGTTCGGCAACCGAATCACGTCGTCTGATCCGTATGTGCAGCAAGGAGCGTCTCCACCAGTCCAATGCCAGTTCATCGGAAGATCTTCCAAATGCAACGACCGTGGAGCCACCACGACGACCTCGGCGCACCCGGTATCATGGCAGCTCAGGAGAAAAGGACAAAGACAGTCCACGGCTGAGCGTTTCGAAGACATCCACTGCCGAAAGCCGCCGAAGCGACGAACGGTTATCGAGCCGGTCGCATCGAAGCGAAAGATCTTCTACCAGAACGAGTAAAGGTATGTGTTTGGATTGTGGATTTCCGTTGCGGTTCATACCAAAACTGAGCTTCCATGCATTCTAGGTCACACCAGTGGGACCCTGACCTCCACCGGCGTCATCCCGACAGCTGTCGAGCAGCAACAGCGCATTCGCAGCAAATCCGGGGCTTCCGTTCTGCAGACTACGTATGTATTGCAATCGTTTATCGTTCCACCGCCTCGACGCCGACGCCGGCGCGATCATCCCTCGAAAGCCATTGTGCGCCGGCATTCCTCACGCTTACGACAATCCTCTGCCAAACGCGCCGATGTAACTAAAAAATCGCTTTCCCGAGGACGCCAGCTAGAGTTGTGCCTATGCTCGTAGTGTGCATACCACACCACACGTATCGGGGTGCGTGTGGATGTGTGTGTGCGTATGTTTTCGAGATTTGTTGTGTGGTTTTGGGTGATTTCGGGTCCAGCTGATGCCTTGCCCACTTTTGCTAAGTGTGTTTGTAATTATATGTTTGTGTTAATCAAGCTCATCCCTCTTCAAAGCGGCTTTCCACATCGCGCGGGCCAATTGCTAGCTTTGCTACCACGGCAGGTGGACATCCCCGAATGCCATTGAATCCATTATTTGTGATAAGACCACTAGGTGAATGATTGTCACAGTTGTTTTTTTTCTCTCAATTTTCGCTATAACTTTTGTTAAATCATCATCATGTTGCATCGGATTAACAGCATTTACTTTGTATAACTTGGTAGTTGATAGTTGGTGGTATTTGTAAATTCCTTCTTGGAAAATATCTGCATTCTTCTTTGGAATCTTCTGCCTAGCATGCATCAAGAGCTTCGCAAAACTAACAATAGAAACCGGTAAATGAATCCTTATTAGTAATGTTATTGAATAACTCTTGAATTTAGTAGATTTGAATGAATTTAATTTGTAATTGTGGAAGTTTCTGACACTCATTTTAGAGTTATTAACTTCATAGACCTTTAAAAGTTTTATCTCAATTTTTTGAGTTAAACAGCCATTTTTTATATTTTAAGACCAACGCATGGAAGCACAATGAAAGCAAAATAGTTTCGGTTGCTAAAAGATTGCTAAGTAAATGTAAGTTCTTCCAAGTCACTGGATCTCTATGTAGATGTTGATGTGGCGATTTTTAAATCTCTTAATAACTTTTTTATTAAATTCGCTGTCTTAATGTGTTTCTAGATATGCTTTGAACAAAACCCAAAAGTTTTGATTGGTCAGGTCTCCGGGAAATTCTGAATATTTATCTCTTCAGGCACTTAATATTGCACTACGTTTGCTTTGTAGGTGCCAAGCAACCCTGTCTTTTGAGTTTTGCTCTGATACCAAATGTTCATCATCTCCGTCGTCACAAATGACGTCGACAACATTCCACATTAAAATATCGCTTGCCAAACCGTAGACTTTATGACGAATTTTTCAGTTAAAATTGGCTTATCGACACTATAGCTGTGTAGTAAATATAAGTCTTGTTGTGCATTTTGACTTAACAACTTAACGAATGCTTAAGGGGGTATTCCCAATCTTTTGCCTTTTTTCGGCCTGTTTTTCAATTAATTTTTTTCAAGGAAAATGAATAGTAATGCGCCTAACTCTTTGGGATTCTTGTTTATTGAACATTAAAGTTTACAAATAAAAATTTTTCGACATAAAAAAAGACATTATTGACGTCACAAAATGGCGGCAAACAGACCCCTGTTCGCCGCAAACGCCTGGATGGGCGAAGACTTTTCTCGGAACGGCTTCATCTGAAGCAGATTTCGTGATGAAATTAATAATCTGCATAAGATTCTCTGGAGCTTCTCCCGTTGGCAGCAAAAAATCTTGCAAATTAACAAAATGGCGGCCAGATGAAAAAACAGGCGATTTTTAGCCCGCTTTTTTTCAGCTTTAAGGTGCTTCAAACAATGTTAAATGTTAATATTTTTGGCTGAAAGTGGGAGAAGCTCCAAAGAATTTAATAAGGAACAAAATGCGCAAAGATTCAAGTCAATATCTCTTATAGTTTCTGAGAAAAATCTTCGCCCGATAAAAAAAATGTGGTTTCGAGAAAAACGCGTTTAAAGTTTTGACTTTAGTTAAAACCATTTGGGGGTTCTTACCATTAGTCAGCTATGCCTGGACACCGAATTCGCTGATCGGAAAACGGCTTGGGGGGATGAAAGTATATAGTCTAAAGTACAAAAAAACGTGAAAAAAAAAATTTGATTTTTTGAAAAAAAAGATCGGGAATACCCCCTTAAGGATTTTCTACTCAGCAGGCCCTCGGATTGACATATGCAGCCAGTCCCTTTTGGTGTATACTGCTTCTTGATCGTTTATTAGCCAAATCTTGAACTGAGACATTCTTCTTATTGGCGATAGTTTGGGTGGTCTTCCGGTTCAGGTTTAGTCTACAGTTCAGGTTTTAGAATGCCCTGTAAGGTAACCTACTCATCAAACTTCCGGTTTTCGGTTTGAACTGCTCCGATATCAATACTTACTTCCTCCATGATCTTCGACAATGTTGTGAGGGTTCTTGTTGGGAATAGTGCTCCATTCGTCCACGGTATGTTTGTGATTTTAAAGGGAAATGCATCATATTTAAATGATTTATAACAAAATGTACTTCCGGTACACAGGTTTATGCAACATATGTAAACAACAACGCAGATTGATAAACAGCTGCTTAACGTTATCGAGACACAAATTTTGACGCGTTGAAAGTGTGCTTTTTTGCACCAAAATTTAGAAATTCTTAGACTTAGACAATCGTTAGTTATCGTGGACTTTTTAAGTCAACAGTTCAGATAGACATAAATATAATGTATGATCAGGAGTGGCTTCCCCCTGCCCCAGATGGCTCGAGCCGCCAATGCTTTCTACGTGAAGTATCCGACAAAGTAGTATTTCCTTTCCGTAGCGAGATAACGAATCCATCAGCCAAGTGTCGAACCGTTGACCCATCCATCGACAGCCATCGTGATGTCCCCCCGTCCAGTCGATAGACCCCTTGTCATAACTAACAATGTTCCTTATCAACACTGAGCACAGTGATGTGTGCAATAAAAGTTTAACTGGATTATTATTATTAACTGAATTAATAGGTATATGCAAAACATCATTGATTCTTCCTCGCGGATCTTGTGCCCTTTGAGCAGCTGACTCGGTTCGAAAAGTATGTCGATGCACTACAATTAAATTAAACATTCAATAGGGCATGTGCACCAGTTTTGACAGTAGCCACTAGTTCTCATTATAGATACTATAGATTCCATAGATAAGCGCGGAGGCACAAAAAGATGTTGTGGTAACCATGAAAAATAAATGATCTTACTGGCATCTGTGAAAAAAGTTCATGCCATCATAAAGCTCTTCGTTGTGCAGTTTTGTTTTGTTTCGTGCGCAAAAATTCAAAATGAAGTGCAAAGCAAATCTTTGCAACTATGAATCGAGGAATGGTTTGCTTTATCTATCCTTCTTCCGTTGTCCGCGAAATAAATCAGAATGTGGAGTGTGGCTCGGAGTGTGGAAAGCGTTTTGTGCTCATAATATTACAATACTTCTCCCTCAAACAACACAATGATGACGTCATGCTCGTTTGGCTACACTAACTGACAGTTCGTTTGACTACATTATACTTTGCCTTCGCTTATCTATGGAATCTACAGTATCTATAGACCTTTTTGACGTTTAATCGTTTTTCTCTATCTAGCACGCATGAATGAATGGACGGTTTGTTTTCCCACTAATATATTTCCCTCTTGCTCGCACTCGTTCGATTGAAATGGTGCAGTAGTGTGCGCCGATTAAACGTCAAAAAGCTCTATAGATCTCACACAACACGAGAAAAGGGCCTATCATTGTTGATCGATTCTCTCCATCGTTTTTCTCTTTCGCGAATAATCCGACTGCAAATCGACAGTGAGCATGCATAAGGGCCTATACGCGATGATCGATTCTCTTCGTCGATTTTCTCTTTTGTTAATAACTCGCTAGATTTAACGTTTCTCGGTGCGTTTGCTGTTGCTTTTGATAGTCAATACAACCTGTTACCATAGAGGTAACTCTAAGACCACTGGGTCCCGAAGAAAATCATTATTATTTTTGGCTCACTCAGTACCAGAACAACGGTCCCAAGCAGTCCCAAGCTATTTCACTCACCCCTGCATGTTCTGCATGAATCCACACACCCCTGATGTTATCTGTCAAACTTTCATAGCGAATCAAAACAAACATAGTGTAGTAATAGAATTTCAACTAGAATAGGGTACGTTAATCGTTTGCTTGGGACCAATAGGCTACTAAAGTGGTGAGCCAATTTAAAATCGTTAGTTTCGTATTGATTGTTGCTGTTACTACTCTGCATTGAACAAATTCTAGAAAATTGTTTCGCTTAGCTGTAGCAATGCAAAGAGAAAATCGATGAAGATAATCGATCATCGCGTATTCGCCCTTATGCATGCTCTCTGTCGACGAAATGAATTTCCTATTGAGTATGTTGTTTCAGGCGCAAGCTAACATCATCTTCTGTCGAACTGTGATCAGTGCTGCAAAATATCAATATCAGTACCTAAAAAATGCTGAATTTCACAATCCACCTTATGTCAATATCAGTTCACACAGTTAGAATATCAATGTCATTCGCCTCAATGTCAGTGCACAAATGACATTGACATCGTAAAGGAACCACTGATATTCAAAGTTCTACCACATTTTTTCTTATATACTCAAGCTAATCGAGTACCGATCTTTAGAAAACACATCAGTAATATTAAAGCAATGCAACGGCTATACAAAAAAGTTGATTTGCTGCGATAAAAGTGAGATTTTCATCTTTTCCCTAGTGATATTCATATGGATAGTAATGTCAAAGGCGTATCGCCTGATATCATGCTTACTACGAATATCAATATCGGAAGTGAAATTCCAGGGGATGGATATGGCTGTCATATCAACAATCAATACGAAACTAACGATTTTAAATTGGCTCACCACTTTAGTAGCCTATTGGTCCCAAGCAAACGATTAACGTACCCTATTCTAGTTGAAATTCTATTACTACACTATGTTTGTTTTGATTCGCTATGAAAGTTTGACAGATAACATCAGGGGTGTGTGGATTCATGCAGAACATGCAGGGGTGAGTGAAATAGCTTGGGACTGCTTGGGACCGTTGTTC